GAGGAGGGTTTGCGGGTGTGGCCATCCTCCCTAGAGTATGAATTCTCACTTTGCCCCTCTCTGTCTCTCTCTCTCCAGGGAGTACACGCACCCTCTGGTAAAAGCATTTAAAAAAAGCCATAAAACGTTGGCCAATGGCCAAAATGTATGCTACATGTGTGTGTTTGTGTCTGTGTGTGTGTGTATATAAAGAGATACTGAAGAGGTGGGAAAGGTACAACTTCTACTAGAAGACATAACTTTTCGCAGGTGAGCCAATGTACACATCTTTCCAATGTCACCCAAAAGAGAGGACATACAAATTTATCCCAGAAATAATCCTTTCAATAGCTCTGATAATAAGAATCCCATTCCGTTGAAACCAAAAACATTTCCATTTTCAATTTATAGAACATAGTTATTTCTTTTTTTTTCTTGAGAGAGAGATATTTTTGCTATAGGGTGCATGCGTTCACTGGACAGAGAGAGAGAGAGAGACCGACAGAAAGCAAGAAATCACCACCACCACCACCCCCCGCCCCGGGGGAATGGCCATGCTGCAGTCCCTTCTCCTCCATTCTCCTCTTGGGATTTGGGAACTCAAGCACATGTGCCTGGCATGAGTTTTAAGCCACTGGGTCTGGCAGTCCAGTAACGTAACTGTGACATCATCTGCTGATCCCAAATTTACAGAACATACTTATTTCTGAAGAAATGACCTTTTCTCATTAAAATAAGTTAAATTCTAATACAGCTCAGGTGATACAAGAAAATCTTAGGGTGCTCATTTCTCTTAAGTTATATTATTTTCATTAAAGTTCAAGTACAAGAAAGAGTAAGAGGCGATTTTCTTTTAGGTATTTGGAGCAGAGGAGCGCTAGGGGATTTTGACCTGTACACATGGATCTCTGTAGAATTCTGCTCCTATGCCTTTAAGACATAGGAAGACTACAGACTTCTAAAACTCCAAGGAAAAATGAAATTCAAATCTGAGTTTGTTTCAGGACCCCCCCAAAAAAATCCATGCATAGGCTTTTTTTTTTTTGGAGAGATTTTCACTGTAGGGCGCGTGCGCTCGCCAGACAGACAGAGAGAGACATAGAGACAGAAAGCGAGAAATCACCCCCCAGGGGGGATGGTCACACCGCAATCCCTTCTCCTCCATTCTCCTCTCGGGATCTTGGGCACGCACGCACACGCGCCCGGCATGAGTTTTAAGCCACTGGGTCCGGGACACGAACCGCGGTCGACTACGTGGGAGTCCAGCGACATAGCCATTACGCTAACTGCTGGTTCCCAATAGGCTTTTCATTATACATTTTCCATGAACTATCTGAAGACCCTTCCTACAGGTGTCCCCAGTACCACTGCAGATTGTACTGTCCTCAGTCACATGCCATCAGTTGACAGAGGAAATGGTACAACAATCTATTAGACTAATCTGACCATTAACTCTAAACCAACTAGATTTACCAGAACTAGAGTGGCATACAAAGACCTTTCTAACTTCATGGGGGTCGTGGGTATCATCTCTTGCTTATTAGTTCAGTGCATTTCAAATGAGTCTCTGGGAAGAGAAAAGAGATGAACTGTAGTGAGTCACTGAAGTTCACCTGAGCCAACCAGAAAACGAGGGATCTGGGAGAACCACCCCCTTACTGCAGGAGGAAGCCCTGGTGAGCGGCCTAAGGTGACAGTGACACTAACAAATGCCAATCAGAAAAATGCAAAGAATAAAAGGGGGAGGGACAGCGTACTTGGTCACTGGTGGCAGAATAACTGAGGCAGTGTTTGTGATGTGGAGTGTGGTCTCGCAAGAACACACTAAGGTCAAGGTTGGGGGCACCTAAGCGCAGTAGACACAATTAGGGCACTCCTGGCTAAACAGAAGCAACTCTCAGCTCTTCTCCTTTCAAAACCCAGAGATTTGATCTTTAATTCACTGGAGGACAGGACTGGCGACTACCACCTGAGCACCTACTATGCGCCTGGCATCCAGTCTCACCTCTCAACGATGGGTCCAGGTGTCGTGGGGTCCCCGGCGGAGACTCCTTCTGGCTCCTTCTGTGCTGGGTGACCTGCTTTGCTCCTGCCACTGCAGACACCCACACTGCTGCAGACTCTGAGCCACAGCAAGGCTCAGAAGATCAAGGGACCAGTCACAGCAGCCTTTTTAACTTTGGGAAAACCCAATGCTCACTTCACTCAAACGTCGCAAAGTGGTGCCATGACCCTTTAGCTCTTGGCTCACCAATTCAAAGAGCCACATCACATACAGCCCTTAAGCTGCCCACGGCATGATTCTGTGTCTAGTTCCTTTCCAGGTCCCCCAAACGGAAGACAGTTCTGGCGGGGAGTCCAGGCAAGATTACTCTAATATTCAGCCTTTGTCCCTTCTTTTGCTATGTCTTATTGTAGATGAAGCCTCACGGGTCTGGGGGATTGCGTACTTCAGTGTATCCTGGACTGAAGACCTGTATTCAAAAGGTACCGTAGGCCCTCCGGTGAGTTTAAGCTGGCCTAGGAATCTCCATTTCAAAGATGAAGAAACTGAGGTTCAAAGAAAGGAAAGCAGGGGGCTTTCCCTGAGGAAGGCCTGGTACAAACTTAACCCAGATGCTATGCATCCTGCCTTTGTAACCCTGCTGAGCACTAGCTAGAGAGGATGGGGCGGAAGTCAAAGATGTCAGGTTTCACTCCCGTAATTAATGGATTAATTAGCGAGTTATATGTGAATGCATATACCCAACTACACATCCTCTCTAGCTTTAGTTTTCTTGTCTGTAAAATGAACGGACCTAGGACGGGAGTGCTGATTTTTAAGATGCCTTTCAGTTCTGAAAATGTCATAAGGCTTGAGGATACCATTATGTGTGTGCTTGTGTGAGAATACACAGTTATACGTCACACACACAAATACAAACACGAGTGGACTTCAAAACCTCGGTGGAAAAGTGGGATCAATGTACAAGTTTATTTTGGTGCAAAATATTCTAAACCTATGCATACTTTTTTCATACTGCGTGTTTCCATAAACTTGCTGAAGATTTCTCGCGCCTATAGTACATCATAATTACCTACTGTTTCTAACCACACATCTCACCACCCCCACAGCGACGATGTCTAGGTATTCTCAACCCAGGGCTAGCTAGAAGCGTCTCACAATGCACCCCTCGGAGTCCTGGGTGGGTGGCCAGCCCCGCTGGCCACTCTCCAAAACCCCCATGAACAGACTGAGCAGCAAGAGGAGCAGTCGGGTACTTGACATGACATTTCAGGTCATTGGATTGCTGGGAGGAAACGGCCAGTACGAGGCAGGGCTGTGCAAGACGACAGAGCAAACCGCAGGAAGCCCGGGTTAAAGGTGACAGACTGTGGCTGCGCAAACCTGGACCCCGCTGCCAAAGCGGCAGGCGGGGAACGCGCGTCCACGCTTGGGACAACCTGGTCCCTGGCCCACATTTGATGGCAGGGACCTGCACCCCGAGGTGGGCACA